AATAGTGAGCTCGTTCATAGCAAGAATAACATTTCAGTTGTCTAAAATGACTGAGAGGACAACTGATGCCGCTGAGACTTCAAATAAAACTTGATATTAATACGTTTTAAAAAAATATTTTTATGTATTTGAGAGAGAGAGAGCGAGCACAAGTGGAGGCAGGGACAGAGGGACAAGCAGATTCCCTTCTGAGGGGGAAGCCTGATGTGGGGCTCAATCCCAGGACCCTGGGATCATGACCTGAGCTGAAGTCAGATGCTTAATGGACTAAGCCATTCAGGTCCCTGTCTGGTATTCAGTACTTTTAAAATGCAGTCTGTTTACCAGATTAGAACAAAGCAATGAAGAAAAGCTGAGTTGAAGAGATAGCATGGTAGACTAACTGAAAAGTCATTGAGAATACTTTACATTCCCAAATATCATTTTTGATAACTGTCCTTGACTCTCATTAATGAGTCATTTTTCTGGGTCAAGCATGATCCAGACCTTGATGGAAAGAGAGGGACAGAACTAGCCTAACTGGAAGGGTTCTACAGGGCCAGATTCCAAAGTAGATTATTTCATTCTTATTTATTTATTTATATTTTTATTCAAATTCAATTACCCAACGTATAGTACATTATTAGTTTTTGATATGATGTTCAATGATTCATTTGTCACTTAAGACCATAGGTTAGGGAATAAAGGGTACCCAGTTCTTTTTTTTTTTTTTTTCAGATTTTATTTATTTAAGAGAGAGAGAAAGAGAGAGTGAATGACAGGGAGATGGAGAGAGAGTCTGAAGCAGACTCCATACTGAACGTGCCCACAACCTGGGGCTTGATCCCACAACTGCAAGATCATGACCTGAGCCAAAAACCAAGAGTCGGGTGCTTAACCGATTGAACCACCTAGGAGTCCTGGGTACCATATTCTATGCCATGTGAAAGCTAGAACCAATGTTCAGGAAATAGAAAGGAGGACAGGAACATACAAAATTGATATACAAAACTTGAATTAGAAGCCAGGAAGAGAAGATCAACAGCATGATAACAAATGTTAATTAGTTTAGGAATCATCTGACAAGGCTTTGTTGTCTACAATTTATTTTTTTGACAATCCAGATAGTGCAGTACATTTAGTCAAGTGTGAAAGGTCTAGAATGGACAGACATCTTAGAGGCAGAAGGACTGGTGGGAAGGGTAAAGGTTCATGTGAAAGACACTGATGTAAAATACATAAATGAATAAAATCACTCTTGGTAACATGATATGTTGCTGTTTAAAGATTTTTTAAACTTATCTTTTGCAATTGTTAGATACAGTATCAGTAATGATTTTAATGATAAAGTTTATTTTTTAAAGATTTATTTATTTGAGAGGTAGAGAGAAAGAGATAGCACAAGCAGGGGAAGGAATAGAGGGAGAGGTGGAACTCATTCCCACCACCCCAAGGTAATGACCAGAGCCAAAACCAAGAGTCAGATGCCTAACCAACTGAGCCACACAGGTGTCCCAATTTAATTTTTTATAAAAATGAAAAAATATTGTGTCCTGGCCTTTTTCTTTTAAAAATCTTACGGGGGCACCTGGGTGGCTCAGTGGGTTAAAGCTTCTGCCTTGAGCTCAAGTCATTATCCCGGCATCCTGGGATGGAGCCCCGCATCAGGCTCTCTATTCAGCAGGGAGCCTGCTTCCTCCTCTCTCTCTGCCTGCCTCTGCCTGCTTGTGATCTCTGTCTGTCAAATAAATAAATAAAATCTTTAAAAAGACAAATAAAAATAAAAAAACTTACGAATTTACCTGAGCGCCTTTGGTCCCATTTATTTAGGATAATTTAGACTGTTCTTCATTGACTTGGCTAAGAATGTAGTACAATATCAATAAAAAGTTCTTTCAATGAGGGAAATTTCATCAATACTTTTAATTCAGGGTGGCATAAAAGAGCACACACATAGTTTTACTTAATAGTCTCCCTGTCATTGGATAGTTTGAGTATGTTTCTTCTCCCTCTTTGATTTTGTTTTCCTATAGATACAATAAAAGATTAGAGAATGGGATCAGAATTCACAAACTACTGACCTATGAACTAAAGCCATTAGACTGTTAGTTTGGTCAAGGAAATGTTGTTGTTTGTTTTTCATCTTGTCTTAATGAATTCTAACACCTTTATGGAGGCGAGGGCATACACACTCATGTTTGCCTGGGGACCTACCAACCCACCCAACCACTGAGTTATATCAAGGTTCTATGTTTGTATTTCCTGCATGAGTCCTGAAAGTGCTTCAGTTTGTGACTCTCAGCTTAGACATATTGTCAAATTTCTTTAGGCTCGTGAGTTTTTAATTCTGTAAAACCTCTTAAGAGACTAACTGCTCTTTCCCACCCTGCATTGTATAGTGAGATTAACTGGAAAGAAATTCATACATGGGCAACCTACCTGGTAGCATCAGGCCATCTCCATGCACTAGCTCATTTAATCAAAACACTCCAGTGACATAGGTATTATCATACCCATTTTTCAGGTTAGAAAATGAGCTAAGATAAGCTAACATTTTGCCCATGGTCAAATGTTTGTTAATTGTGGAAATCAGGTTCAAGCCTGTTTTGTCTCTAGGTTCAAGATCGGTTTGTCTCTAAAAACTTCCTACGTCCTAATTTCCCTTAGTGGAAAGAAACTTTCCAAAAGGATCTCTCAAATAATCAAGCTTTACACAGACTTTGAAATGTTGTCAGAGTTAGATATACAAATGATGTCAGATCTCTAAATATCTCAAACAGTTTTACAAAATATTTTATTTGCATGCTGCTTTCTTTGTTAATGGGAGTGGCCTTCATGCTGTGCTCAGAAACATAACTAGTTTCCTAAAAGGCCACACAGAATTTAGGAATATTGTTAGAAGAAATTTAGCTTTCATTTAAATGTTGATGTGGCTTTGGAAAATTTATCACAAGTCACTCAAATTAGAAGTGTAAAGAGATTTTATTTCTATCACTTAACTTTTTTTCATTTTGTCACAAAGTACTAGTTATCTCATAAATTCAAATTTGTTTTGTATATAATATTACTAAAACTCCACTTGCCTTAATCTGGAAATAGTATTTGATTATTTAGAAAATTTATCTGCCACAGAACCGTTCTGGTAAGGGTAATTTCAAGTCTGTCTGAATGAAGAAAGACAGAATGTTATGATGATCATTAATTGATCAGAAAACTTAGCGGTGCTGCATTTTCAATCGAGAGTTTTGTAAAACTCAAGTTTACTCATGTAAACAGGACTTTTGTGATTAGGATGATTTCCACGTTATGCTAGTCACTGAATAGGCTTACAATAAACATACTGTCTAGCAAATGTCCAGTACAAGAATGTCTGTTTTTAAAAGGGAAAATAGAGAAAAATGATCCATTAAAAAATAAAGAAAAGAGTATTTAGGGCACGTCTTTGTAATTTTTAAACTTTGGATTAAGCAGCATTCATCTGAGTTGACCAAAAGATTGAGCCATTAATTTCTAATTTTTTAAATTTTACTTAAAAAAAAAACTGCTCAAATTTACAGATAGAGATTTTCTTCTATGCAGTGCAAATTATTAGAAGACATGTCAAATGATTAGATTGCTGAATCGTACTTTCTGTGAGTAGCATTTGGAGGTGGGAGGGGTTGCAGAAACTACTGCCCTTTTCAAATAATTCACGAATGTGCTAATTGTATGTCAGATATGAAAGTTGAAGCATTGTGACCTTCAAGCCAACAAAAGCCCTTTTCAAGTAAGCCATTTTCATATACATTAATAAAGTGAACAGTGCCCTTCCACAGTTAAATAATGTATGACTTTTATTTCATTATATGTAAATGCAAATCAAGGAATTGTTTCATTGTTCACATATTAAAAGTAATGCTATAAAAAAGCAGACTATAAATCCACTTAAGTTACATTTTCTGGTACTCTACAATTGTGACCCAAGGATATTTGTTGTATGCATCTATTGTCTGCAGCTAACGTGTGGTTTTCTGCAACTGAATGTATTCTGGATTTGAGTGGTAAAACCTGCAATGTGTTGAAGTATGTAATAACCAACAGAGACATTAGGAAGATTAGAAAAATGATAAAAAAGCTGTTTCCTTGCAGTGATGAAGACAATGAACGAGGAAACATTACGGCTGGACACACTCACTCACCCGTTAGCAAGAACAATGTTAAATAAGAGTGAGGATCAAAGGAAAGGGAAGTAATCCCATGCTCTTTCTCATGGCTCTTTCATGGTATAAAGAAAATATCTGCAAATATTGGGCTTAGGTAATGGACATTAAGTGATTATTTAAAAGAGAAGCCATTTCATTGGAAAATAGTGCAAGTTTCAAAAGGAGTAATGTACAAAGGAATTTAGGTGTTACTAATGCTTGAATCAAATTGACTGCCGGAATGTCAAACAGTTCCCATGAAGTTGTAGTAGAAAAGCAAGAACAGGAAGAATTTAATTACCTTGTATTTGTCCAGCTTTGTAATATATTTGATGCTGAACAAAACGTGAGTAAAGATAAAGTCATGCTTGGTGCAACTTAAGTATGCATGATAGACTGCTGAGGAATGAAAAAAATAATAATAAAACAATTACAAACTTAAAAAAATCATAATTGTATGAGATTCCAAGAACCTATTAGCATTCAATCCAAAGATAAACTTTTTTTTTTTTTTTCAGTCCTATAGGAAACCTTAATAGTTAGCATCTTATTACAGGTTGGATGTTGATACCAAGAGACTGGATAGAGTTGACTGATTCACTCATCAGTCTTCCTTTTTATTTTAAACAATTTTCTAGAGCCCTTTGTTACTAATTGTTTCAATAAATTCTCTGACTACTTCCATAAAACAGATGGCAGTGACGTTTATGAGAATGCTGTTGTTTATCACTAAGATTTTTCAATGAGTATGTACATGCTCTAACTTATTTAGGATAACCAATGTTTCTGCATTTCTTTAATAATCTGAAATAGTTTCTTTTATTTTGGATTGTATTGAAGGTTGCAAATCTTGCTTGTTCCATGTCAACAAATGAAGATGGAATTAAAATTGTCAGAATTGCAGCCAATCACCTGGAAACCTTGTGTCCACAGGTATGATAACTAAGTTGCTGTCTCTTTCATCAAACTAACTATAAAAAATTATAATACTTTGGACCTTTATACATATGAAAATACACTAAGGTATTTATTTTAAACACAGAAGATGACTTGTCCTAAGGTCATGGTTTATTCTTTACTAAGCACCAAGTTCTTTACTTAGCACCTGATTCTTTTTGTTCTGTTTTGGGGTTTTTGTTTGTTTGTTTTTTGTTTCAGGGGTACAGGTCTGTGAATCATCAGTCTTGTACAATTCACAGTGCTCACCATGGCACATACCCTCCCCATTGTCTATTACCCAGCAACCCTATCCCTCTTCCCTCCAGCAACCCTCAGTTTGTTTCCTGAGATTAAGAGTCCCATGGTTTGTTTCCCTCTTTGGTTTCATCTTGTTTTATTTTTCCCTCTCTTCAGTGAGAACATATGATAATTGTCTTTCCCTGATTGAGCTATTTGGTTTAATATGATAGCCTCTAATTCCATCCATGTTGTTGCAAATGGCAAGATTTCATTTTTATGGCTGCATAGTATTCCATTGTATATGTATACCACCTCTTCTTTATCCATTCATCTATTGATGGACATCTAGCCTCTTTCCATAGTTTGGCTATTGTGAACATTGCTGCTATAAACATTGGGGTGCAGGTGCCCCTTTGGGTCACTACATTTGTATCTTTGGTGTAAATACCCAGTAGTGCAATTGTTGGGTTGTAGGGTATCTCTATTTTCAACTTTTTGAGGAACATCCATGCTATTTTCCAGAGTGGCTGTACCAGCTTGCATTCCCACAAACAGTGTGGGAGGGTCCCCTTTCTCTTCATCCTCACCAACACCTGTTGTTTCCTGACTTGTTAATTTTAGCCATTCTGACTGCTCTGAGGTGGCACCTCACTGTGGTTTTGCACCTGGTTCTTATAACTTTCCCTAAGGGACCATATCAGAATTTTGTGAGAGAAAAGTGCAGTGTGAAATCAAAGTAGGAGTTTTTCCAATAATTTATTTTTAGCCATTATTGATTTTGAAATTTCAGAATATGAAAGGAATGACTTCTTCTCCCCTCTTTTATTCAAAGTAGACATGAGTTTGAAAAAAGCCAGGAAATGTTTTCTTGTCTGCAATTCAGAAGTTTTTGTTTGTTTGTTATCTGAAAAGCTACATATTTTTAGGGAATTATTTCTAGGATAGTGTCTTGAGCCATGAATTGGTATACACCTAAGGGCAATTTTAAACACCTTGTCTTAGAATAATCAAGAGATAATATGGATAATTTCTCCCTATAAAATCACAAATATTGTAAGGATGTGAAATATAACAATGATTAGAGACTTCCAGTCTCTGGATATCTGCTGAGATTCTCATCTTTCTAAAAGTGGTATATGTGTTAAATTATTGATTTACCTTACTGATAATTTCATCTCTAAGAGTATTGAAGAAACAGTAAGATAGACTCGTTCTTTGGATTTAACATTGATCAACAAGTAAAAACTGACTAGAGAAGTAGAGTCCAGAGGACCTGCAACTGAGATCTTGCAAATGATGTCAGTTTTCTGAGATCTCTCTAGGAACCAGAACACTGCAGTGGGGTCTGTAAAGCAGCTGAATCATTTATACTCCCCTCAGCAGTCTAGGAGAGTTCACATTTCTCTATACTATGGATTTCATTTGATGCTGACACCTTTTAAAATGTTTTTTGAATTACAAGAGTATTAAATGTATTTCACTGGGTTTAATCTATAATTTTCTGATTACTAATGGGAACATTCTTCAAACATTTGTTAACCATTTAGTTTTCTAATTCTGTGAATGCCTGAATCCTTTGCTACTTTTAGTTGTCTTTTTTTTTTTTTTTAACTACATTGCTTGGGTTTGTTAAAAATACATTCTGTTGACTGTAGCTTTTATTTTTACTTTTAAAATAATATTTTGATCATTGAAGATTTTAGGACCTTTACTGATCCATCTTTTAATTCTTTTGATATTTATTGAACATCTACCCTGTATAAGGGTTTGTTGGTTTGTGCATTGTAAAGAAATTCTCCAACAAAAATTTTACATAGTTTTTACGTTTTCTTTAAAAACAAAACAAAACAAAACTGAAGTATCATTAACATTTAGATCTTTATTTCATCTAAAATTTATTTTTATGTCTAACTGAGGTAGGGATTTTTTTAATAGTGCTAACAATTGGGCCACCATCATGTATTAAATAGTTGATCCTTTCCCAATTAATGTAAAATGCTATCATTGTTTCACAGACATGCACACAATTTTAAAACATTTCTATTGTTTTATGTACATTTGTATGCAATATATGTATTATACATATTTGTAATATGTGCATGCATCTACATGTTTTATATAATGCGTTAAACATATATGATATACATATATCAAATGCATAATTTATTTACTAGTATTCCGTTTGTAAATATAGATTGATAGGTAAATTGAAATATTTTTCAAAGTATACAAGCTTTTGGATTCTCTATTCTTCTTATTTATTTATTTATTATTAAGATATAATGTATTATTTGTTTCAGGGGTACAAGTCTGTCATTCATCAGCCTTACACAACACACAGTGCTCATCACAACATACACATTCCCTGATGTCCATCACTCAGGCACTCCATCTCTGTCACCCCCCCTCCATTTCAACAACCCTCAGTTTGTTTCCTGAGATTAAGAGTCTTTTATGGTTTGTCTCCCTCTCTGGTTTTGTCTTGTTTCTTTTTTTCTTCTCTTCCCCTATGAACCTCTGCCTTGTTTCTCAAATTCCACATATCAGTGAGATCATATAATAATTGTCTTTCTCTGATTGACTTATTTTACTTAGCCTAATAACCTCTAGTTCCATCCACATTGTTGCAAATGACAAGATTTCATTTTTTGATGGCTGCATATTATTTCATCACATATATATATATATATATGCATATATGGATATGGATGAATGGATAAAGAAGATGTGATATATATATGCATATATATATATATCTTCTTATGCATACATCAATAATGGACATCTGGGGTTTTTCCATAATTTGGCTATTGTGGATATTGCTGCTATAAACATTGGGGTGCAGGTGCCCCTTTGGATTCCTAAATTTGTATCTTTGGTGTGAATACCCAGTGATGCATTTGTTGGGTGGTAGGGTAGCTCTATTTTCTGGGCTCTCTATTCTATTCCACTGGTATATTTCTTTATACCTGCATTGGTATTGCAATGCCTTAATTATGCTTTTATAGTAAATCTGATATCTCTAGGCAAACAACTCACCTTTGTTGTTTTTGTTATTGGTGGTGGTTTTTTGTTTGTTTATTTGTTTCTTTATTGCTCTTCTTACTTTCTGCTTGTTCATATAACTTTCAGGATCAACTTTTCAAGTTCCATGAAAGTACATTAGAATTTTTATTGAAATTATTAAAATATCTTGAATTTTAGATTATTTTAAAAGTAATCGGTCTTCATGATATTGAATCTTTCCATTAATAAATGTTTTATTAGTAAATGTTATTTTAAATGTTTTTTGTATCTCCATAATAAATCTTTTTTAAAAATATCCTTCAGGGGGTCTTTAGACTTTTATCAATTATTACAATAAATTCCATGACTACATGCTGGTGGCTTCCAAAATTTTCTCTCCAGGCCATATTTCTCCACTAAAGACCACACTCAGATATAATATAGTCTTGACATTTGGACTTTGACATCTAGAAGACATCTAAAAGAGCCAAAAGGAACTCCTGATTGTTCCATTCCCCAAACCTGAAAGTTTTCTTTTCTTCATTCAGTAAATATTTATTGAACATATACTATGTGGTAGGCGTTCTTTAGGCATCTGGAGGGTAAATAGTAAAGAAAATAAACAGATGAAAATCCTTGTTCTTGTGAAGTTTATATTCTAATGATATCTAATGGCTGTTTTTTCTATTGAATCCATTAAATAGTTCTATCAGTTTCACCAAAAATATTTATCTCAAATCTATATACTTTTCTCCATCTTATCTGTCAACATCTCAGCCTATACCCCCATCATCTCTATCTTGGACCACAGGAACGTTTTATATGGTTTCTGTGCTTATACTTGTATCTCTTTAACCTACTTCTATCTAAAAGCCAAAGTAAATTTTAAAGATGTTTATAATAGCAATTGCTTTTCCTAGATTTTACAGGGAAATTCAAACATTTTTTACATCTTATTCAGATTTATATAAACTTCCAACTGCCTGACTTCCAGCCCTACCCTGAATTATTTCCCTTTTCACTCATTAGGTCTCTGCATATTGGCCTTTCTGTTTCTAGAATACAGTACGTTCCTTCCCATCTGAGGGAGTTTGCACATGATAATTTCTCAGTGCTTTTTTCCCCATATGGCCAGATCCTGTTATGTTCATTTTGTAAGGACTCAGCTCAGATATCATCTTCACAGAGCTCAGTCTCCTTAAGTCACTCCTCTAGCTTATACCCTATTATGTCACCACATTTATTTATTTTAGAGTATCTATCACAACCTGAAATTATATTTTATATTATTTTGTTATTTTCATTATACATTTTCCTCACTCAAACATAAAGTTCGTGAAGGCAATGATTTAGTCTCTATTTTCACTACCTGTAGCCCCTGTACCTAGCAGAAATGCAACATATATATGCAACATATAAATGAATGATGTTTCTAGAATGATAAATCATTCTATGTTTATAAAGGACAGCAAGGTTTTTGACAACATCTTTTATGATACTTTTCCTAGCATGGTGTCTTTTCTTTTTGACAATATGGAAAAAAAAATAGAGTATAATTAGTTTGAGTTGTAATTCATGAAAAAAAATCCTAAAATGGCTGATTAATGTATAGTCATTAGCCAGCGGTGAGTTCTGTGCTGGTGGGTTGCAGTAATTTGCTCTTGGTTTATCTCATGTCAGTGCTCTCCTAATGATTTGGATAAGACTATAAAAATAATGTCTTAAAATTTTCAGTTAAAAACAAGAGA